AATTTAGCGATTACCACAGTAATTGTTCGAATGTCATATAATAATGACAGCAGCTGTCATGGAATTGAGCGATTAAAAAATTATCATAAATCAGTTTTGTCCAATAGAAACCTATTTTTTTATTTTACTAGTAAAAAGTCTTTTCAATTCGTTATTTTTTGACTATACGTGTTCCTATACCTAAAATAAATTGTTTTTAAGTTATTTAAAATTTTGATTTAAAGCGCATATTGTAGGAATAAAGGAAAATTGTCATCTAATAATAATAATAATAGCTCCCGTATATAGGTTTGACGCCTTGGGAGTAGCAAGGTATAGCTTGCCGTACTAGAGCCGTTCGGTATACAAGGAAGGTAATAGGCCACAGCACTACGCTTCAACCGCCTATTATTACCTCAGGATTGTGAATCCCAAGTACTTATTTAAGGCTGAGTCGACCTAGGTACCCAAACTATTTTTATTTTAATAAAAATAGTCGGCTGATGAAATGCCGGGTGTGGAATTCGAACCCACTACCTTGAGATTGGTAGACGAGAGCCTGTACTTCTACGCCACCGGGCACCTTGTCATATTCCTCTCCATATTTCCAAACCAAACCAAACCAAATCAAACACTCACGATTGGAGATAGACATAATATGAGGTTTTATACCAAATGTATCTAGAATTCGCAAGAGATGCCAAATATATTACTGGATGTTCCATTTAAAAAATGCTTCACACTGTGGCTGGCACTTTTCTGAGACACCCTGTGTTAATGACTATATTTTCCAAAAATACATGAGCATAAGTGAGCAGTTGCGTTACCTAACCTAACCCTAACAGATGGCATACGATGGTAGAAGCATACTGGTGTCTAATCAGAAATGTATATGTCAAAAAATACCAGCCATGGGTAAAATTTTCGCAATAGATTTCCTTCCTATTCGGTAGTAATTTATGGCTTCTGTATGGGGCCAAAAAAAAATTGTACAAGAGCGCTACCCATTTGAGGAACGGGCCTGTAAATTGATGTTTTCCGATTGCTATGCTTCAAGTTGCCACCCTCTACAGGGTGGCGCCTGGTGGCGCCTCTCGTAAGACGCGGAGGCTCCAAGGAGAACGGTAGTTTATATCAAAATGAAATTTTGGGAGCATACGTAGGTAAATTCAAGGCGATTAATGTGTAGAGTTCTACAGGGTGCCACCAAAAGAAGTTACGCATCAAAGTTGTTTTTTTTCTAATGGAAGACCCTATACAGGGTTGTTCACCACATACGACACGGAGTATTGTAACTAAACGACTAGATTTTTACAAATTGTAAGTTTTGGGTTTGTTGAAGGACTATTAGAGCTACAATTTAAAAATATTTTTACAAGATACAGAGTGTCCCAAATAAATAAAAAATATTAAAGTTGTATTTTTTTAAATGGAACACCCTATATATTATTACATTTTTAGTTTCTACGATTAAAATAAAGGTAAATTTGATTAAGGTTTATTACACTTAAACCTTACCGTTTTTTAAGTATTTTCAATTTTGTGAAATTGCAGTATAAATTTTAAGGCTTCATTTCTCCGAGGGTATCAAAGTTTTTAATGCTAAATATTTACTGAAGTTTATTTATTGATCAGCTATAGTGTTGCAATAATAAAAACTTTATTACCTTATACAGAGTGTCTAAAAATTTATTTTAAATAATTACTAGCTTTAAACGACAATAACTTGTTTAATTTAAATGGAACACCCAGTATATTTTATGAGAATCAGATGTACAATTTAATTGTCTATCAAATTGTATTATACCATTTTTTACCTATCTCTTCAAGTTTCCGTAGAAAATGCATTTTCTTGTAACTTAGAACTCATTTATCAATATACCCATGGAATACTGACATTTTAGATTATTTTTAAAGATGTACCAAATTTTTAAAGATGTACCAAATTTTTAAAGAGTACGGATACTAATATTGTCGATATAGTTTGTTTATTTCATTAAAAAATAAAAAAAAACTGTTAAAATATTTGTTAAAGAGGACCAGTTAATATGATTCCAGTATTCAAACTACATTAATTGACTGTTTGCGTTGATTAATTATAATTGCTCCAAATACTAAAAAACTGAATTATGTATGTGTATTAGACAGTGTGGTAAAAAGTAACACCTTAAAAATGATATTTAATTTTTTGACAAATGCTTATTTATAACAGAGACGTTCATTTCATAACTTATTGATATATTGATTTCTGATTCAAATCCACATTTATTTAGAATAATTTATTAACGAACACAATTAAGTATGTAGTTAATTATATTTGGACGGAAATACTGGTGGAATATTTAATTAATGGTATACTCTTTTATAAAGATTTAAATAGTTTTCTTTTTGCATACAAATGGGCTAGTAATATTATCGTTTTACTAAAAACGATAGTATTACTAGCCTGTACATTTTGTACATTTGTTGTTTTAAAAACAATCTAAAATATCAATATTCCATGGGTATATTTATAAATGAGGTCTAAATTATAAGAAAATGCATTTTCTACGAAAACTTGAAGGAATAGGTAAGAAGTGGTATAATGCAATTTGATAGAGAATTAAATTGTGCATCTGATTCTCATAAAATATACAGGGTGTTCTATTTAAATTAAATAAGTTATTGCCGTTTAAAGCTAGTAATTATTTAAAATAAATTTTTAGACACTCTGCATAAGGTAGTATAATTTTTATTATTGCACAATAATATAACAACTGAATAACACAATAACTGACCAATAAATAAACTTCAGTAAATATTTAGTATTAAAAACTTTGATATCCTCGGAGAAATGAAGCCTTAAATTTATACTGCAATTTCACAAAATTGAAAATATTTCAAAAACGGTAAGGTTTAAGTGTAATAAACCTTAATCAAATTTACCTTTATTTTAATCGTAGAAACTAAAAATGCAATAATATACAGGGTGTTCCATTTAAAAAAATACAACTTTGATATTTTTTATTTATTTGGGACACTCTGTATCTTGTAAAAATATTTTTTAAATTGTAGCTCTAATAGTCCTTCAACGAATCCAAAACTTACAATTTGTAAAAATCTAATCGTTTAGCTACAATACTCCGTGTCGTATATGGTGAACAACCCTGTATATATATTTTCGGATTAGGTTTTCGGGTTCTAGGAAAAAAATAAAGGTGAGTTTCATTAAAGAAGAATATGCCTAAAACGAAAGGATTTTGACATATTTGACATTTTTTGAAAATGAGGAATAAATTTTAAATTTCAATAGTAGCTACTTAAATTGTAATTTGCCCTGTATAGCCTGCTTTGTAGTTACAATAACCATTGTATGTTAAATCAAATTAAAATTTCATCCAAAAAGTTATACAGGGTGAGACAAAATTATTATTGAACATTGGTCACTTTTAAAAGCAAGTTACTCCTTTATTTTAAATGGAACACCCAGTATATTATTCCGGTATCAATAAAGAATTTATACATCTTCAAAATACTATTGGGTTGTTACCCCTCAGATAAAGATTTTCCTAGATATTTTAATTTTTATGATTTTGCGTCAGTAGATCTTTATTATTTGATAACATCTAGGTGGCTGTGATATGCCTTTAGTTAATCTATCAAAAATTAAAGGATGTAGAGTAAAAATACTCAACGGTAATAAAAATATATACATTTAAAACATATTTCAATTATTACAGAATTAAAAATAGATATAAACGTATAATTATGTGACAAAAATTAGCTAGATGAAATCAAATGCTCAAAATGCTTTTTTTCCTGCTCACTGCATGCATAAAATGATTCTCTTTTCAAAAGATCTATTCATATTAAAAGGCACATGTTAAATTCTACTTCGTAAAGCAGCTACAATCACTTCTTTCATGTTGTTGATAATAGTTGGTCGAGTTTTGTAAACACTGTCTTTAAGATATCGCCATAAAAAATGTCAAGACTATATAAATCTGGAGCATTTAAGTATTCTATCAATTGGTTAATGCACACTGCAGTCACCAACTAATAGAATCATATCAATTCTCTCCAATTTACGACAAGTTTCCATTTTCAACAAATTTTTAAGATTTTTTTTTTGTTTTAATTGACCCAAAATTATAACTAGTTATTAAAATTGAACTAATTTGACAGCTATGTTGAGATAACGTCAGACATATCACAGCCACCTAGATTTTTTCAAATAATAAACATCTACTGACACTAAATCACAAAAATGAAAATATCTACAAAAATCTTTGTTTGAGGGGTAGGCAACTTAATAGTATTTTGAAGAGACATGAATTCCCCATTGAATATCGCAATAATATAATGGGTGTTCCATTTAAAATAAAAGAGTAACTTGCTTTTAAGGTTGGCCAATGTTTAAGATTATTTTTGTCTCACCCTGTATAAGTTTCTGGATCAAGTATTAATTTGATTTAAAGTAAACTAGTTACTTTAACACCGGGTAAATTCCAATTTAGGTAACTTTTATTGAAATTTAAAAATTGTTCTTCATTTTTAGAAAATGCTAAATATGCCAAAAACCTTACATTTTAATCATATACTTCTATAATGACACTTACCTTTAATTTTCTCCCAGAATCCGAAAATCAATTAATATATAGGGTGTTCCATGAAAAAAAAACATAATTTTGATGTGTACTTTTTTTGGAGACACCCTGTAGAACTCTCTATATTTTTAAAAAAATGCTCTAAATTAACCTACTTATGCTCACAAAATTTAATTTCAATACAAACTATCCTTCTTCTTGGAGCCTCCGCGTCGGATGAGAGGCACCACCCTGTATATTTTTATTAAACCTAAAATGCTAAAATAACATCTTAAAACCCTAGCAATAAATTTAAATTTAAGGATTTATATCAAGATAAACTAGAAATTAACAAAGCATCGCGGTGTTCAGTGACAAACCAGAAATAAATAAAGTTTATCGTTGATAACAGTGAAAACATGCAATAACATTATAAAGTTACTTGCGCAGACACTTAAATCCTTCGACCAGAAACGGGTACGGAATATGTAATTACGAAACCAGTTTATATTCGATTAGCGAGTTGTTTTGGTTGTACGGCACTGAATCTGGCCGAAAATTAGCAGAAACCTTAGTTAAAATACCGCAGATTAGTGTAATAATTATACTGGTGTAATTACGATGTAAAAATAAATGGTGCAATGTGCAACAAAGAGTGAATCGCTGGTTAAGGATTATTGTTCGAAAACCTTGGATACAATCACGGTAAATTTAAAATTATTATTCACAAATAAATTACTAATAGTTACACATTACATTATACAGGGTGTTTCAAAAAACATGTGCCCTCTCTGATACACGTGATTGTGCTTTGTTTCCTAGCTACAGGGTGTTAAATTCTTAATATTTTTTCGACTTATTATAATTTTCTTCCAAGTACTTTTAGCGTTTCAAATGAAATTTTGAGGGTGAAAGCTACTATAAATGCGACATATTTTAAGCCTAAAAAAGTGTCGCCATATTCACCAGGGACGTGCATATGAGTTATCACTGGAATATTTTTTTCAAAAAAAGTATGTACGCCACTGATTTTTTTTCTTTTGTTTGCAAAATAGTGTAAGCAGTTTAATGCCGATTGAAAGTTGTCTCTTGATATTTTGTCGATTTCGGCCTCCTTGATGAGAAACGCAATTTTTTTAATTTGTCTTGATCCAAGTCTAATAGCAATCTTTAAAAATGTTTAATATTATCACTTGTTATGCTTGGAAATTTGAATATCACAATCTTTTAATATTCACTTGCGAAAGTGTTCAATAAGTAGGTACTCATTGATTCCTCATCAAATATGAAAATGAATATGAAAAAAAGTTCCTATAAACATGGGTATGGAAATGCATAGATTTAGAGTCAAAGGATGTTACAACTTTTTTAAATTAGCTTTTTTTCTAATTATCTTAAATACCATATTTTTTTATTTGAAATTGCTTTAGGTTGGACTAATAGTAATAATATTTAATAATAAATTAGGTGAAATATATAATTTATTAATTTCATTTTTCAAGAGATCACTTTTAATTAGCATTTAACAGCCTATTCAATTTTGATATCAAAAGAAAAAAATCAATGGTACACATGTTTTTTTTTTGAAGATATTCCAGTGGTAACCCATATGCACGCCCCTGATGAATTTATCGACACTTTTTTAGCATTAAAATATATAGCACTTATAGTAACATTTACTCTCAAAATTTCATTCGAATCACTAAAAGTACTTGGAAGAAAATTATAATAAATCGAAAGATTATTAAGACTTTAACACCCTGTAGCTACGAAACAAAACAGAATCGGACCTATGTTGATATGAAAAATAAATCTTATTTTTACGTAAGGAATCTTCCCACGAGAGATGGCACATGTATTTTGAAACACCCTGTATATTACACATAGATTACTATACAGGGTTGTTCACCACATACGACGCGGAGTATTGTAGCTAAACTCTTAGATTTTTGCAAATTGTACGTTTTGGGTTCATTGAAGGGCTATTAGAGCTACAATTTAAAAATATTTTTACAAGATACAGAGTGGCCCAGATAAATAAAAAATATCAAAGTTATATTTTTTTAAATGGAACACCCTGTATATTATTACATTTTTAGTTTCTAAGATTAAAATAAAGGTAAATTTGATTAAGGTTTACCGCATTTTAATCTACCCTTTTTGAAATATTTAGGTTTTTGTCAAAATACAATAATAATTTTAATGCTTTATTTCTCCAGGCGTATTTAAGTTTTTAAAACCAAATATTGTACTGATATTGTCTATTTATTAAATTTTGTGTTTCATTAATAAAAATTATACTACCTTATACAGAGTGTCTAAAATTTTATTTTAAATAATAATTAGCTATAAACGGCAATAACTTGTTTAATTTAAATGGAACACCCTGTATATTTTACAAGAATCAGATGCACAATTTAATTGTCTATCAAATTGTATTGTATCATATTTTACCTATGACTTCAGGTTTTCGCAGAAAACGCATTTTCTTATAATTTAGACCTCAAAAATCAATATACCCATGGAATATTGACATTTTTGATTATTTTTAAACATGTAACAAACTTTTAAATGGTACAGATACTAATATTGTCGATATAGTTCGTTTATGTTATTAAAAATTAAAAAAAATGTTTAAATATTTGTAAAAGAGAACAAAATAATATGATTCCAGTATTCAAACTACATTAATTGACTGTTTGCGTTTATTAATAATAATTGCTCCAAATACTAAAAACCTTAATTTTGTATGTGTATTAGGCAGCGTGGTAAAAAGTAACACCTTAAAAATGTTATTTCACTTTTTGACGAATGCTTATTTATAACAACAGAGATGTTCATTTTCATAACTTATTATTATATAGATTTCTGATTCCAAATCCACATTTATTTAGAATAATTTATTAACTAATACAATTAAATATGTAATTAATTAATATTTTGGCGGAAATAATGGCGGTATATTTAATTAATGTTTCTCTTTTATAAAGATATAAATAGTTTTATTTTTGTATACCAATACTGGTATAATATTATCGTTTTTAGCACCTGTACATTTGTTGCTTTAAAAACAATCTAAAATGTCAATATTCCATGGGTATTTTGATAAATGAGGTCTAAATTATAAGAAAATGCATTTTCTACGAAAACCTGAAGGGATAGGTAAAAATGGCATAATACAATTGATGAACAATTAAATTGTGCATCTGATTCTCCTAAAACATACAGGGTGTTCTATTTAAATTAAACAAGTTACTGCCATTTAAAGCTGGAAATTATTTAAAATAAATTTTTAGACACTCTGTATGAGGTAGTATTATTTTTATTATTGCAACACAATAACTGATCAATAATTAAACTTCAGTAAATATCTAGTATTAAAAACTTTGATACCCTTGGAGAAATGAAGCCTTAAAATTTTTACCGCAATTTCACAAAATTGAAAATATTTAAAAAACGGTAAGGTTTAAGGGTAATAAACCTTAATCAAATTTACCTTTATTTTAATCATAGAAACTAAAAATGTAATAATATACAGGGTGTTCCATTTAAAAAAATACAACTTTGATATTTTTTATTTATTTGGGACACTCTGTATCATGTAAAAATATTTTTAAATTGTAGCTCTAATAGTCCTTCAACGAACCCAAAACTTACAATTTGTAAAAATCTATTCGTTTAGCTACAATACTCCGTGTCGTATGTGGTGAACAACCCTGTATACACAGAATAAATCCACTAAAACAAACAAAAAGAGAAATTCGTCTCTTTTAATAAAAAAAACCTACTGTGACAGTAATAATAAGTGAAACATAAGTATAACTAAAGTGAATAGACGTTTTATTTTAAGAGGGAATATGATAATACAGAAATCAAACAATGAATATAAAAATATACAGGGTGTCAAAAAAATAATGTATCTTACTTCGGTAGGTGATTCTACAGATAAAAATAAGACAAAAAGTTCCTATAAACAAATGCCCTAAAATGCTTCGCGAAGAAGTTACAGTCCTCGAAAGGGTAAATAAAGATATGATATTTTGTTTATTTTTAAAATCATTGGTAAACCGTTTTTCTTGAAACTTGGTACTCTTACACACATTTTGACGATTTTGAAATGACGATCGATGACATTTCCCATATATGTATGTAAATCTGCATATAAAATGATACCGTCATCACTGAGGCCATTTTTTATTATATTATATTTTATTGTTGTTTAAAAATTATTTGACGTTTCAAGGAACGCAATAACAAAAAAGTTTCAGAATAAAAATATTAATAACAGAAAAGTTAGTTTTTAGGTCGAGTTTACTACCATTGATGAAAATTTTGTTAACAATGATTACTTATTAATGATATCAGTCATTTATAATCATAAAGTAAATTACAGAGTGAATATTGTTCTTAATTTACTAATTATAAACATTTATTTTCCTTGTTTCATTTAAATTAGAAATAAGAAAACATCAAGAGATGACTGCGCAAATTCTTTGTTTGCAATTCTTCGTTTACAATAATTATTGTTAGATGAAATAACAACTGATATGAATTCCCATCTTAAACAGCAATCTATAATCTATACTAATATATAAAATCCTTAAGTGACTGACATTACTGATTAATCACGATCCTGCTCAAACCACTCAACGTAAGAAGCTCAATTTTGGCATACAGGTTGATTCTAGGGTGTAGAGGTTCGATAAGAAGGGATTTTTCGAAATTCCAGTTCCAAGAGGGTGAAACCACCCCTCAAATATTACAATATTTTTTATTTAAAAAACAATCAAGTTTCCGAAAAAACGCTTAAATACGTATATACTTTATTTTGTTTTTTACATATTTTAAGATTTTTTAAAAATGTATACAGGGTGTTTCGAAAAATCTGGTCATTGATTAAGCACGATCCTGCTTAAAGCGCTTGACGTAAAAAGCTGATTTTTGGAAAACAGATTGACTTTAAGGTGTAGAGGTTCGATAAGAACGACCCCACTTGTTATAGAGGCCTAAGCATTAACAGTTCGGTCAGCAGACTTTTTGGAAGGTGCTACAGGGTAGGCTCAGGGACAGTATTGGTGACAAAATCTCGGAAGACCAAAGCGGATTCACACCGGGAAAATCTTGCACAGATAACCTTTTTGTCCTGCAGCAGGTGATGGAGAAAAAGATAGCAGTAGATCAAGAAGTCCATCTAGCATTTATTGATTTGGAGAAAGCGTACGATTCTATTCCCCGCAGCAAGATATGGGAAGTATTGAATATCTTAGAAGTAGATAGACCTTTGCTTAAGATAATAAAATAGCTATATAAAGAAAATGAATCGTACGTTAAGATAGGACACAGGCTATCTAATCCAATTAACACCACAAAAGGGTTGCGACAAGGATGCAGCTTATCTCCTCTGATCTTCAACGCTTACGTCGAATTAGCCCTTAGGGAATGGAAGACGAAATATCAAGGTATGGGAATACCCATTGGGGACAACACACTATTTACCCTGAGCTTTGCAGACGATCAGGTCGTGATTGCGCAGGACTCATACGATCTAGAGTTCATGACTAAGAGGCTTTATCAAGAATACAACAAATGGGGACTTCAGGTTAGTCTAAAGAAGACCGAATACTTAGCTGTCAATTCCAACGCTTGTTTTGAAGTCTTCATTAATGAAAACGTCCAGATTCAACAAGTAGACAAATTTAAATACC